GTAAATATTTGAGGCTTTGCAGGCCAGACGGACTCTGTCACAATAGCTCAATAATGCCACTGTCATAGGAAAGCAGCCACAGACAGTACATCAACTGCTAAGCATGGCTGTATTCCAATAAAACCAATAAAACTTTATTCACAAAAATAGGTGGTAGGTCAGATTTAGTCTATGTGTGGTAGTTTGCTGACCCCTGAAAGAGACTCTCTGAGAGTTGCTATACCAATAATAGTGGTTCCCTGGAATCAGGGAAAGCAGATTTTTATCTGGTTTAAGGAAATACCAACATATTTGCTGGTCTGTGTGCTTTTCTTGGAAGATTTATTTGGACTACATGATGATTGGCATAAAAGGAAGGAGAAATGAACCTCTGTCACTGTGAAATAAATGATTAGATCATTTTCAATTAATTCTGTGGACAGTATGTCAGGCCATTATGTTCTGGAAACAGGTTTAATACTTGCCTTACAAGTTCATCTTATTATATGGAGCTTTTGCTGTATGGAGTTGTGGGTTGAATGATTGGGGTTTATGGCATAATATAGCTGAATCTGGAAAATAATCAGTAATGACACACACAAAGGGGCCTGAATGAGTTCTTTTACCCATGATTTGTTAATTCATCCTCATTCACTTTTTCTGTATATTTGTTTGCAAGATAAATTTAAGAGGACCGTGGCACCATAGAAATTGATGATATTTTGGAGGGACTGTTGATGGAATATGGGTATATACTGGGTTAAAAGATAAAAAGCCAGGGAGGACTGAGCATATTAACTGGAAAATGCATTGCTTGGAGTAGGAATGCTTGTACTTGGTAGTTTTGGTTAGTTGAGGGAACCACTAACCTTCTACCTTGAAATTGGATGAGTTAATGCTCATTTAATCAGATTAAATAATACACATTAATTTATAGCCTCGTAACATCCTCTGTGTCAGCTGGGTTCTCTGGGAAGCAGATGCTAAAATGGAGAGTTAGGGTTATGGGGCAGGGGGAGCCGTCTGAGCGCCATGCAGATCTCGTCGTCTCTACCAACCCAGTGAGGGGTTCTGGAGCAGGGTGCCTTTTGGAGGAGTTGGGTGTTGGGGGGGAATTATGTTCTTTGCTTTGCTCAGTCTTTGGCAGGGTTGCCCTAAGAAGAAGGGAAGTGGCTACCAACTGCCTAACTCAGTTAATGGCCTTAAAACCTGAGGTGGACCACAAACGGAGCTAACAGCTGGAGGCTGTCAACCAGCAATACTCCTTGCAGTACGTCCTTTCTTGGCAGGGAATCTGAGTGGCATATCTCTAGGTCTGATGCTTTCTGTCCATTTTCTGAGTCTTCCATTCAAGTCTCATTAGCGGACTTGTCTTCCTCTGCTCTTTGCATTGAGGTTCCCAGAAACCTCTGCTTATTTCTCTCTCCCCATTGTATAAGCTCTTCCTGGAAGATTTCTTCCACTTCCATGGCTCTAATGTGGACTTCTATTTTCTTCTATGCCAGAGATTGCGTAGGAGTTAATAATGACTTGATATGTTAGTTAGGATTTTAATGTAAAAGTCAGGATTATATTTGGGGTGGGCATGAACCATAAAATCTAGGTAACAACGGATTATTTAAAAAAAATCTGGACGTTCTCAGTTCAGAGGTGGTATGTATGGTGGCTCCGTGTCCAGAAACCCAGGATCCTTTTATTATTTTTCTCTAAAATCCTAGTGTATGGCTTCCATATTCAAAGTCACATCACAGCCAAAACGGCTGTTGGGGCTATCACACCCTTGATCTTAGCAGATGACTAGTGGGAGAGCGGAAAGGCAGGCAGAACTTACCTCCCTTTTGAGTCATCTAGGTTTAAGCAGTTTCCTAGAAGTCTTCTAAAGCATTCCTGTTTCCATCTTTGGGCACAGCATAGTCACATGGCCACACCTCGCTACCAGGGAAGCTGAGAAATGTGGATTTTCAAAAAAGCATTGTAACCTTGCAGGAGAGAAAAGCATGCAAGAAGAAGATTAGAATGGATGGTGACTGCCTATAATCAGTCATATTTCACACTCCCGAATCTGTGTTTCCAGATCATACCTTCTGAATTTTGGAAACATGAGTTCTTCTGTCTACTAGACATTTCTGCCTGGATGTTGCAAAGGCAACTCAATATGAACATGTGCTAAACTGAACTTCATTATATTGACTGCTTGTTATGTTTTGTCCTCTACAGTTATGCCCTCAAGTACCTGATCAACCAAAATGTCTCATTGCATACTGTTCTCTTTCCCTCCCTTACTGTGGTCAATCTGTCTCATAGTCTTGTGAGCACTTTTCTAATTATTTTTCAAATATGTTCTTTCTTCCCCTTTGCCACTGCCAGAATCTTGGTTCAGGGTTCCCCCTCCCCATTTTTTTTAGCTAGAGTATTTTTATATGGCTTTATTCACCTCAGTCTTGCATCTTGTGATCTATTCTTCATGTTTTTGCTGAAGCTATTTTTGCAAAATGTAAAGCTGATCACATTGTTTCCAAAGCTTAAAATCTCATACGGTCTACATGATAAAGGGCAAATTCTGTAGGAAGGCATGTCTCATAGTCTGATGACTGCTCTCACTCTGGCTTTATTTTTGGCCACTTCCTGTTGTACAGCCTGTGTCTTGTCCATGTTGTTTTATGCCTTATGTGCTATTGGGAAACACTTAGCACACCCAGACAGAGGTGAGCCTCCATAAGACATAAATCTTAAATCCCCTCTTACCTGTCTGCACAATGCCCCTACCTGGGAGCTATAGCTAGGTTGAAACTCATGTTCTTTCAATGAAGCTCAAAGAGTTACCACTTCTAATCTATGAAGACAACACAAGTATGACAGATGTTAGGGGGAAAACTGTGACTTTGGATTTCAACATGTTGCATTAAGTTGGCATGAACTCCAAGTAGAGTGCACATTCATTCTTGGGGAGTCTGGACATGGAGGGACAAATGAAGAGAAGGATCTTGATGAGGCCAGCATAGACATCACAATCTATCTTATGAGTATGGATGAGGTAGAGAGTTTTGGAGGAATGCTTCAATGTATTTGCAAATATTAGAAGTAGAGTCAATCGTTGCTTACTTAAATCTAGACCTGTTGTTCTTCAAGCGTGTGGGTAGTTGTAGCACTGGCTTGGCAATTCCTTGATGGCAGGGGACAGTCTTGACTTCTATGCTCTTCTCTTGACCGTCTGTCATGGTGGCGAGATGACATTGCTCAAGGCTTCATGTTATTATGTGACAACATCCCAGTAAAGAAGAGATGGGCAGGAAGAAATGGCTTTGTCCTTAAATGCCTTTTTTTATAGAAAGTAAAAAACTTCCCAGAACCTCTCAGAGGTCTTCCCCTTATCACTCACGGTTTGCAACCCCAAGTGCGAGGACATAAAAGGAATGGAGGAAAGCACGTCTCCTGGATTCTAAGAAGGGTTGAAGTGAAGCCTCACTTTTTGGGGAAGAGAGACATGTGATTGGAGCTTGGAGGGAAGGATGAAAAAAGTTGGCAGATGTTCTGAGGGTCTAACAAGAGAAATAGAAAAGCTCAAAATGGATCTTAGAGAAGCAGGAGGGCTGGTCATCTCTAGAATTTATGGAGGGATAGAAGTGGAGAGCAGAGGTGGAGGGAAGGAATAGATTAGAAGGGACGGATCGAGGAAAAGAGGAGAAAATCTGGAACATCAAGATTTGGGAAAATTTTACACATTAGAATGGAAACTACAAAAAGGGGGAATAAAAAACTTCCTTGGAAATTAAATTTGATGACCAGAAGGAAGGAGCCAGAAAGTTCTAAATTTCCGTGAGAAAGGAAGGATTTGCAGATGAGGAGACATCTGACATGGAAAATCCATTTTTGGCTTTTCCCAACCTTCTGCTATTTGTGAAATAACAAACGATGTTGCTCAGACCTCAGATGCTCCAATTTCCTCAGTTGAAAGAGGCCGTGTTGCTTCTGTTATATTATTTATAAAGTAGGACTTTTTGCTCAATCTTAGGATGAGAGAGTGAAAATAAGTCTCTGGGACAGAATTCAAATCAGTTACATAAAAGACACATATAAAGTACACATAGTGTGTGTGAGACACTAATATTTTGAGATGACCTCAAATGTAACACCCTTCTAACCTGCCTTAATTGAAAAGAGCGGAAAATAGACTTAAGAGTCAGAGAAGTGGAGATAATATCAACTTTCTTACTCATAAAGCACCTTATTGGTGGGCAGAAGTTAATCTGGCCAGTGGACTTGTTTACATTCCCCTGGATTAAACTTGAATCCTTCTCCCAAATTAATTTGGGGCCTTGTTTGATGCTGCCCCAGTGAACTTTCTGGATGGCTAAAAAGAAATGAGAATTCGATGAGAATACAGGTTAGTTATAGGTGACTGGCTCCTCAAAGAGAAAATGGCGGAGCGGGTGCTGTCAGATCCTTTCGCCAAACTTGTGAGGGAGATAAGCCATCTTCTTCTCCCCTGGGGCGGCACAGACACTGAGCAGGGAAGAGGTTCCTGAGGGTGACTCTAATTCATGTCTTCCTCCTGCAGTGTATGCTAAGTATCTCTCCCCAAGGAGGACGCTGTTTCAGGCACAGAGGCACAAGGCGAGATAAAGATCCATCAGACATGTCCCAGGACTTCAGGCAACTTGCAGTCTAGCATGAAGAGAAGAAATGCATTGGTGTGGAGTTTCAAGGAAGGCCTCCGGGCTGAAAGGAGGTCTGCACCCAGAGAGCAACAATGAGAAGGAAATAGTCCAGGCAGGGTGGCTGCAACAACCTTGCAAACCGGGTAACATGTAGTGAGAAGTCTTGTTCACGAAGGAATGGGGTGAGTTTGAGCAACTTACCTGCATTTTAGAGAACCTAGCACCATCTGATTATATATAAATATATATTTGTAATACATATAATTATATAATTTCTGTTATATAATATATTACAAATATGTATATAATATATATTTAACTATATATATGAAAAGGTACTCATTTCTAGTTGTTTCTTAGCTGCTGTGTGGAGACCAGAAAGGTGGTTCACTGGGCATGAATGGGGGGTGCTGGGCTGAGGGCTTCAAATCCTGGATTGGTAGCAGAACAAATTGGCATGGCTTTAGAATTTCCTCCAGCACTGTTTGGCAGTCTGGGAGCAGGAACAGAGAAAATGGATGGTTGGCTCTATTCAGGGTCGGGAATTGGCAAAATAGATGTGGCAGAAAATCAAGGGGCTTGGAGATCTGAAGATTTAGAAAGTTCACTGTCTTAACCTCACAACGTGATTTACACAGTGTGTTGGGGGGGACTGTTGGCAGGAGGCCTTTGGTGGCTCTTTGTCCCTGACTGGTCCAAGTCTGTGATAATGTGCCTCAATGTGGATCTTATTTTGTCTCTGAGGCTGGGCTCCTACTGTGCTCTTTCAAACGAGAGACTTTCACTCTTGTGTTGATACATGTTTCCTACTTGCTGTTTTCTGTTCGAAACTAGAACTCTTTTTCCTATTATTTATCTGTGAGACCTTCTGGGTCAATCCTCTCTCTCCCGTCTTCCTCTCCTCCACTCGATTATCTTTCCTCTTCTTAGCTCTATTTGTTTTCTTTCTGGGAAGAAACGAGGATGAACTTTATTTTGAAGTTCATCCAGGGACATTTTTATTTTGGATATTGTATTTTTTTGAGAACTCTCTTCAGCTCGCTGATAACAAAATCCTTGTTTTATGGCTGCATTATCTTCTCATTATCTCTTAAGGATGTGATTTAACATTTTTAAAAGTCCTGTAGTTTCTTTCCCTTTCTATCCCTTTCCTCCCCTCTTCCCCTCCCCTCCTCCCTTCCATTCCCTCTCTCTTCATCTTTCAATCACTCTCTCTTTGTCTCTGTCTTTCTTCCCCCTCTTTTTCCCCCCTTAATTAACCCAAGTTCTGGGCACAGTGAGAAATAAAGCCAATAAAGTAAGGAGGTGGGAGATCAAAACACCACTCCTTTTAAACTGTTGAAAGCTCAGTGAGTGAGAGCCGAGCGGGCCTGAGAACGGAAGCCCAGACGGCGGACTCATGCGCTCAGCCACGGGCAGCACTGGACGGAGGCAGGCCTCCTCTCACGGTGAGACTCCTCGGAGGGAAGAGCAGAGGAAGGCACTCCCTGCATGGACAGACCCTCCCAAGAGGGAAGAGGGGAGCTGAACGAAGCCTGGCCAGCTGCTCCTCTTCCCAGATTACCTTTCCTGCTCTGCAGGGGGAGCAAGTGGGAGGCTGGGAGAGCCAGTGAGTGCTTGTATGTCCCCGTGGAAGGGGACATCCCAGGTCGGTGGGTTTCCCTGCCAACATCTGCTTGGGGTGGAGGCGGGCACCTGGCTTCCGGTCTTCCGCGCGCAGGAGTAGCTGAAGGTGTTGACCG